ATATATATATATATATATATATATATATATATATATATATATATATATATTGCAATCACAGCCTATTTATGCATAATATCATGGAGTACGTTTTTATATTATTATTCTGTATAACATAGAGTACAATTTAGAAGTAAACTTGTATGTTGTGTTTTTGTTTTGTTATCTTAAAATGATTGATGTAGCATTAACATTTGCAAGTATCAACTTATTGATCTTATTATTGTTCATTAAAAATTAATTAGTACATTTACATTTTTAATTTATCACATAGTTAAAAAGTTAGCATGACTAAGTGGATAAAAAGTACTGTTTTGCCAATGTTTACCTGCTAATCAGAAAGTTGCTGATACCAGAGCTATCAGTGCTCATCAGAACTTCCATCAGAAGAAAAACTCTGGCAAGTAAAAAGCATAGTCTTACATAACACATATGTAGTATAGTGAAAGAAAATTTATAGTTTATTTAACACTAAATAAGAAACATGTGAAAATTATAAATTACATTGTAAAAACGTATTATATAATACATTTAGTAAGAAACATAAGAATAAATAAAAAACATTGTATTTACACCTTATTTAACACTAAAGTAATGACATAAAATTTAAGGATAACAAGGAAACTGTTAGTCCATATAGGCCATCCTATTCACTAAACTTTCAAAGCAAACCCAAGAGGTGGTAGTGGGTGCTGTCAGCAATTCAAAACTGTGGACAGTAGCAGATAGACGTAGTAGCTTTGCTATAACTCAAAAACAAAAATATGACACACCCATAGTTGAAAGAGTGAGCAAGTTTGGTGGCAACAGGAATTAAACCTGAGACCCTGGAATCATGAGACAATCCCATTAATCACCAGGCCATGCTGGCCCAAAGCTGGACATACTTTGAACAATGATGAAATAAATTTATAATGCTCAAATTTGGGTTTTGATACCTGCAGTGGACAGAGCACAAATAGTCCATTGTACAGCTTTATGCTTAATAGCCAACAAACATAATGGCAATATTTCAATTACTTGTATAGTTGGAATAATAATAAAAAATTATGTTGCACTGTGTTCTATCATTGGTTGGATCTTTTTGGATTATTTGGTAAAAAAAAAAATTGAAGAGCCAGTGTATGTAACAATAACAAATTGATTTATTTATTCTTTAGCATCTACTACATAAACTACTGTGGGTCTAATTTGCTAATAATATTTAGCAGAAATTTCTTTGATTGATAATAAATACTGACTAATTTACTTATTAGATTAAAGAAGCACTAATTCTTACTGATTAACTTTATTTAAATATCTCCCAGTTATCAACTACTTGATCATTCACACGCTAAATTCTCAATCACTGAACTAACTTCTACTTCATTGTTCATATTTATAACTAGTTTACCAATCCAGCTAGTAGTGGAAGGTTTTCTATTATATCGTCTTTCCCATGATTTGCAATTCCCTCTAGCGAATATCTAAATTAAGACGTTGAAAATATGGCTTACAGCACTGCCACCTTCCTGGATTCTGAAGTCCATTAAACAGTCCTAATACAAAAATAAAACACTACACTAGATTGTCCATTCACCAAGAATTTTTGATGCTTTTCTTGTCTGAGGCCCATTGTATACAGATGGCTTTACCTCTTGTCTCTTATCACTTCTTGTGTCACTGGGGAACTTCTTCCTAGGTAGGTAATCGAGTAAATCCACTGTTGACTCTATCTTATTATCTGCAAGTGGTTTCAACTGGAACCCTGGGATCCTCTGCAGGTTGACTTTCAAATTAAAAATTCTTCTCTGGAATTATCTAATTGGCTATTTTTTCCCTAACTTGTGTCTAAAGACAATCATGGTTAATGACCTTTGGCTTTGATCTGAATTATTTAAATCACATCATTCATTTTTCTCAGCACAACATATGGTCTTTCCCAAATCTGCTTAACTTTGAAGTTTCCTCTTCTAGCCTATACCCATGATCAATTCTTTTGAATGTGATTTACCAATATTTTTTTCTCCCTATATGTTTTTTTTTACTATAATAAACATCTTGTTAATATATTAACCCTTTCCAGACGGTTTATAGGGGAAAAGCCATGTCATCGCATTTGTTGACTTGCATTAAAAATTTTATTGAACTACTATTTCATGAATTTATATCAGTAAGTTTGGTATCAAATAGATTATAATTTTAGTATTATACCTTACTCAATTTCTTAATTTAAAAGTAAATATTAAAAAAAGTACAGGTAAACATCGATTTTTTTTTGTGTCATATGGTATGTTGAATGCAGCACTGGTTCAAATTAGATGTTTGTGATGTCAAAATGCTAAGTCTATAGTTTCATATTGTTATGTCTTCGTTTGTTAATTGATTTTTCCGTAACTTCGTTCCAACAAAACTTTAACAACACAAGTCTTTACTTAATAAAACTGGTTTATTCTTTCCGAATATAACTCTGCGATACACTTAATCTCAATACTCGCGCTATAACAACACTGTAACGAACGAACGTTAACTTCAACAATACCGTGTTCAATTACTCACTATCTATACACACATTACCTCTCCTCCCGCGTCACGTTTTCCCCTCTTATATATACCAGCGTACCCTATTTCTAGTAAGAACTTGAACATTCGCCAAAGTACATGATAGTTCTAGAAACGTTGTGTAACAGTGGTCATGTGAAGTGGCGTTGTCCTGGTCTTTCGGATGCCAAACAACTTGCAGCATTCTTGGAACACAGCTGATTCAAAGTTACG